CAATCACAGATGCACATTTATTGAATTAGCAACTAGTACTTAACAACAATCTTCTTTTCCAGATAGAAGTTCTGTATCTTCCTGTTAATCCAAAGGAAGGAGGTGATAAACACAACGATTTTCAAAAAGACGGACCAGACAATAACACGGAAGATACCATTGGTCGCTTGAGTGTACTCCATCTCATCCATTCGGTCCTTTTCTTGAAGTTGTAAGATTTCTTTGGAGATGTTAATGCAGTCCCTAATTCGCTTATCTTTGTTGCGAATTTGTGAGTCAGCATGTGAGTAAATACTAGGATCTTCGGGTCTTCCTTCATACGTCACTACATCCAAACCTATCTCAATGTTTGGATCGTCCTCTAGTTCCGAAACAAGTCGGAATAAGAACATATAGTACCCAGCATTAGTTGAAGTCCATAAGAAGTTCATTTTTGAGCCAGAATGTGACATTTTTGAGATATAATGTTTGGCACTTACTGTTGTTAAAGAGTGCCAGTCCTTGGTTGGGGACTCGTATATAGCCATCTCGACTTTGACATCATCCTCATCATTGGTGTACCGAGATGAATCACTACTTCCATGGCCCTTTTTGAAGTTTACTTCACTCCAATTATCACTGGCACCCCGGCGCATATACACTTTTACTTCAGATAAAGTCACTGTTGACTTCTTTAACTCCTTGATTACTACAATGGGCGCTTTAGCCTGGTATAACTCAATAAACCCATAAACACTTGCAAGACACAACAATAAAGTAACTAGAAGACTTTTCATCTAAGTCTGACAAAAAACTAAACATTTAATACCAAGATCTTAGATTAGCTAGTTGAGATAGCTTTTTGGTAAGGTCTGTGTTGTGATATATCTTGTTTCTGAAAGTTTGGGAGGTAGATATGCTTAAAGCACCAATTATTGTTGGAGTGAATAGGGAAATTCTGATTGGATTAGTTGTCAGTAGTAAACTTGGAGTTTTTTTGAATATACATGAGACCAAAGCTTATCTTTTGGGTTAAGATAGGACTGGCCGCTGTGGCTCTTCTGGTGGTTATTCTAGGACTTCTAGGAATACACTTTCTTTTGGCTGATAGGCAAGTAGTTGAAGTTCCTGGTGGTCCGGTTAGTTTGTATGAGAACAATACGTGTGTCCGACTGGTAATTACTGGGAAAGTTGTTGGGGCGGGCTGGGAGGCCCAAAGTCCGAAAACTTTGGAGTTTACGGATGCCGAAATAGATATGTCGAGTATGGCTTCGATGCCAAGTGAGTTGGAGAAGAAGTTGGCTAAGTTGGCCAAACTGACTATTTCGGAATTGCAAATTGACTTAGTCCGGCCTATTACAGCCTCTAGTTTGGCAGCACTGGAGAAGTTTGTGATTGCTAAGAAAGTAAAGCCGGGCAAAGTACTGCTGAAAGAGTGCAAGGCTAGTCAAGTCTCGAAGCAGTTGCTGACATTTGTGGCGAGTGTGCCTACTTTGGAGCTGAACCAAGTGTCTTATGATGCTCCTTTATTTCAGGATCTAGCTAAGACAGCGAGTGCATCGTTGAAGACATTGATCGTGGTGGGATTAGTTGATTATCATGCGGGCCAAGAAGGTGTGCTTAATCGGTTCAATGTGAATGCTTTGGTTCTGGGTGAGATTTCGGAGAGTAGTCAGTTACTGGCTTTTGCTAGTGAGAATAAGTTTGTTAAGTTAGCACAGGTTTCTGTGCGACATTGTGTGATTGATAAGGTTGAGCTGGTTTCGGACTTGGCTCCACTATCTGGCCTCAAGAAAGTCGCTCTGAACAACACAACTATTCTGCAGTCGTGTAATTTGAGTGTGCTGGATGGCGCTGATTTGGAAGAGCTATCGATTATAGATTGTCATTTGCCAGCGAACGATAAGCAACTCTTTACTTCTTTGACTAAATTGCCGAAGTCGATGACGCTTGATGAAAGTGTTTACTTGTTACTACAGCCGGATAAGTTTGTTGTTTCGCCGAATAAGCACATAATTGAAGTTCATACCCCGTCATTGCAGCCCAACCCGGAAACTATTGCCTTTACGCTACATGCAGCGAAAGATAATGAGAGAAGACTGGATATCGTTGTGTCCTACTTTGTTAAGACGGAGTCCCCAATTGTTTTTGAGTCCTGGCAGTTGCCTTTCACGAATGTGACAAATCTGGGCATGATCGTGTACCAAAACAACCAAGCTATGTTCTTTGAGGATACAGATAAGATAGTGAATATGCTGAACAAGATAGCTCAGTCGTACAACAAGTGTCCAGTTCATAAATTCATTCTTATCAATTTGTGCAACTCATATGTAGAAATGGCTAAAGAAAATGTCACTTCCCAGGCTATCAAAAGGCTCTTCTCGAAAGTTGATGAGTATGCGCTTAGCAATGTGAACATGCCTGAAAATGCCCCCTTCAATGGGTATAAGGCCGATAACGACCTAATACCCGCTACGTTTGGTGGGGTAATTGCTAAATTTGGGCCTTCGTCTACATCGAGCTCGGCTACGACTACAGCCGATGGTTGGCGCTACAAACAGATTAAGCACAAGGCTAGTCTTGATTTGTTGCTAAAGGAGCTAGACACCTTATAGTTGGGAGAACCGTTGCCTTGGCCCAAGTATATAGATGGTCTTTTCATCTATACCCAGATAGTCCTTTTAGTGTCCATATCTGGCCAGCAAAAGAGAGATCTGAGTGGGCATGCGGCAATGAATATTAACACAATATTCATTGCTAATTGTTGAAGGAGTTCGCAGGTTTGACCTAAACTTTACATTCATGTCCTAACCCCAATATAGGATTATGGTCCTGATAGTAATAAAGAGGTGTGTTCTTCTATGTGCAAGAGTTGTATATCGTTTATTGGTTAGGTTTAAGTTGGTTTGGGTTGCTGGTTGTGTTTAAGTTATGTTGATTTGATTTAAGTTATGTTGGTTTGAGTTGGTTTGAGTAACAATCACATATACATATGTCTATGTTAATATTGAGTGTTGCTGACATACAATAAACTATCTGTTGATTGTTTGTATAATAATTCGATGCCTTTGTTTTGCTGGTGTTTGTTATGGGTGATTCTATCTTTGTTAAACTAATAACAAATGTACTATCCTAAACTAAACACTGAGTCTTCTTTTTTGGAAAGCTGGCGAGTTTGAATTTGGTTTTAGTTATCGAGTTAAGATTGAGTTAGATGGGAAATAGTTAGATCAGTAGGAGTTAGAGAAGGTTGAGATAAGAATAACTTGATTATAACACGTTGGTGTCAAAAGGGTTGTTTATTACTTGATAGAACAAGTTAGATATGGGGATCCTGCAAGGGCGGTGGGGTCGAGGTAGAAGAATTGCTGGAGAGTGGGGAACATGCTAGCTCTGTCATACTGCATAGAACTTTCTTTGTGGAAAGCGGGATATCCTCACTAGTGCCCATGCGCTTGGTTCTTAATACGTGACGATTTAGTTCTAAATCAACCACAACAACATTCTTCAAATGTCTTGTGAATACATGTTTATATGCCTGTAGTATGATATGCTGTAGACTGTAAAAAGACACTAGGATGGGGCGGGGGTTAGTTACAAGAGGTACCTCTTGTTCTGGGCTTTTAGGGATATGGCCGGCTGGGTTAGACATATTGTTAGGGTTGCACACACTATCTTTTCCAGGGACTAAACTGTACCAGACAACAGGCTGGAGATAGATATTATATCGATAGTAGTTGAAGCTTATCAGACAATAAGTACAAAGAGCTATATCCTTATTAATAACCAGAATAGCTATATCGTTTGAGAAATGTGTATTGGTATTGCTACACGAGATAATATTATAGGAAGTGGCGCACTGTGTACAACGCCGCCACATTTGCTGGTCTGCCACCATATGAACCAGCCTTGATATCAGCCTCATATAAACGGTCTCAAGAGGAGGAGTTGCTTGGAATGTAGCTGCTTGGAGCGAATTGAAAAATGACCGTGATAAGCAGAAAGGATAGGAAGGGATGAAGCGAGAACCTTTGGGTATGCCATATGCTTTGGTATATGCATAGTTAACAAAGTGAAAAGTAACGTCTGAGTTATGGAGTCTTTGAAGCATAGCCCCCCAGCATTCAACTGGGTTCCCATCGCGAACTAACACCACAGTATAGACATCAGGGAGTTTAGCATTTTTCTGATTGCACGAATTCTTCGAATTACTTGAGATTTGGGTTGGTGTTGGGTTAGTAATAGCAACATCAGAGTTGTTGTCGTCGGAGGGATGTGCCGAAGGATCAGCAGTAAGAAGTTGTGAACAGGTCACTGAAACGCCTCTTAGTTTATGCAAGCGATGTACGGCCCAGGCCAGAAATGTATTAATTGGATACTTGGAAAAAGCTATCTGCAACAAAGCATGGTTATTGTTGTTGATATTAATCGGGCGAATGCATTCGACAAAAAGAGGATCGGACTTATTAGGAGACCTTTGGCTTAAGGTTATGTCACACCAACTCACTAGAATAGGAGGTTTATTTTCTTGTGAGATATTTTGAAGACGTTTAGTATCATTGGTTAATTGTTCGTAGGCATCAGAGGCATTACCGATTTTGAAGCGCGAGAAACTACAATGAATAGCGGATAGGATCTCATCTAAATGACACATTGCTTTAAAGGCGACAAGTGAGGGAGCGGCATCAAACACAGACATGATCTCAATTAAAACATTCAAAGGGAGTGGGTTAGTCGGATATATTGATTGAGTCCATATTGATCTATATTTCGTGTCGCTATTGTTTAGAAGAGACTTTCGAAAGTATATGCTTGTAATGTAATCAGACAAAAACCAACTAATCCGATCCTTTAACCCCTGGCTAATATCAGGGTGCTTCTCTAGTAGCCTAAGCCACTTATCATAATTACCATCACAATAGATAACTAAATCCTTATTAGTAAACAAACAGCTTCGCAGAAAGACAATGGTCGTCTCAAAAGAGCATCCACTAAACCGGATTCCGTTAACTTTAAGGTGAAACGGCGTTTGTAATATCTCCGGGTTGATGTGCGTATCGATAATGATAATTTCTGCAGTATCTGGCAAGTACGCAAGAAATTCAAAAAGCAAAGAATAGTCATCGTCACAATCACAATTTAGATCACTTAAATAAACATGCTGGACCGGCAATCTTTGAGGCTTTTGCTTTAGAAGCTCATTTATCTGAGAGAGCGCATTAGAGATTGAGCGGACATTCGTATAGTAGTTTAATATGCTGATATTAAACAGGTACTTGCCCGGCTTCTGTCTAGCTG